TCAGTAATTAAAGATGAGATCATCATCGGTCCTTTTAAGTTAAGTATGATCAAATATCCATAATTTAATCTAAGCTTAATATGTACTCAAAGTCAGATTCGAACGAAAGTTTGTTAGGGATAATAGATAATGTTGGGGTAATGTATCTTGGGTACTGACAGTGTGGTATGTTTCGTACATTGGGGTGTATGATTAGGGGAGTGGTTTTGGCAATAGTGAGTTAAGTTCTCTCTGGTGTCAAAGGTCCAACCCTTCTAAAATTCATTTGTCCTCCGTCTAAGATTTAGGGCTAAATAGGTTGACGGAATGCTGGCAAGATTGACGATGAATGGATATTTGCGATAAAAGAGAATGAGAAGATGATAAGAGGTAAACAAACGTGAGTATATATGATTTCTCGTTGCTTTTTCCATAATTATCCTTTAGATTGATATATCTTGTTTCTAAACCATAAAAATTTAAAGGTTGAATCACATTAATTTTTTTTTTTTTTCTTATTTCTTATGTTTTATTTTCTATATTGTTCCTTTTTGTTGTTGTTAGTTTTTGTTAGTTTATTGGTTGCTGGGTTGGGATATTGATTGAAAGCAGTTTGGTTTAGTGGGAAATTCTAATGTTTTAGGTTAAAGGGGTATAGCGGTGGTGAAGGAATTGATTTACTTTTTTTAATTTAGGGTTATTATAAGGTAATATATGTTTTAATGATTTGAATATTTTTAGTTGAGGGTTTTATTGGTTTAGAATTTAATATTTATAGTGAGTGTTGGTGGCAGATTCAGATGGTAGGAATTTGATAGTGGAAAGTATATAGTGGTAGTAATATTTGAGTTGTGAGAATGATAGGAGTGTGCATTTTAGAATATTAGATATTATCTTATTTGGAAATTTAGATCACTAAAATTGTGATACGTATCCGATCTAAAAACCATATATCTAAAAATGTTGAATCAGATATCCAGATTTGAATATAAACTTTAATTCAATAAAAAAAGTAATTTTAAATTTTATGTTTTATAGCTTTATACAACACATTCTATACCTTTACTATATCACAACATACTTGAATAATTCTAAAAAAAATACATAATATCTTATTTAAAGGTTTGAAAAATTAATAATTTAAAAGTTCAAATAATTTAAGAGTGCAAAGAAAAAAAATTGACTGGGGCAGAGGGTTAGGGCTGGGGGTTGTGGTTGAGGGGTTGGAACTGTTGGACATGGGTAAAATCTTTTAAAAGCCACTTGTTTTTAGATTTTCAGATAATTTGAAATTGAAATTTCACCGATTTATATCCAATCCGATTATCCATTTTTTGTATATCTAATCTAAATTATCATAAAATTAAAAGATGAGTCAGATATTTGAATGTTCGGATTGTATTTTTTTCATACTACTAGAGGGTGAAGATGATTGTAGACAAATGAGGGAACTTATCAAATAACATCAATATATGCAGTGATGGTTAGTCGGAGAAAGAACTAAGGTGACGTTTGGTTCGTTGGAATGTTTCTGAGGGAATTAGAATCTGTGAAGAAATTGAAATCTGTCAGGAATTGGAATCCAATTCCATATTCTGTTTGGTTGGCATGAAATTGAATTGGAATCTAATTCCATATTTTGTTTGGTTCGCAGACATGTCAGATGAATTTGATTTCAGTAATGTAAAATGACAGGATTACCCTACTTGTTTTTTTTTGCTTAATTTTAGTTTGTTTTATAAATTACATGTAGCAATATATTAAAAAAATTTAAAAATATTAAATTTTAATTTTATTGATTGATTATTCATTTCAATAAATTATAAAAATCATGTTAATAAACATCATAAGTTAAAATTATCTTAATTAGGGATGGCCATGGGTCGGGTTGGGTCGGGTTTTTGGTCCACCCGACCCGACCCGAGAACAAGGAAACCTCCATCCGAGACCCGACCCTACCAAAATAAAGTTTCACCGACCCGACCCGAATATATGAATTAGAAACCCGACCCGACCCAAAATAATAAAAAAATTATTTTTATTCAATAAAAATGACTTAATTGAAAGAAAAAAATTATATATAGAGGGGTATTATTGTAATTATTCCTAAATATATAAGGTAAATTATATATTTTTTGGGTCGGGTTGGGTATTTTTCACCCTAAACCCGAACCCGACCCGAATATCACACTAAAAAAAACGACCCGACCAAAATAAAATTTCACCTGATCCGACCCGAATATATGAATTAGAAACCCGACCCGACCTAACCCGAAATAATAAAAAAATTATTTTTGTTAAATAAAAACAGTGACTTAATTGAAAAAAATTATATATAGAGGGGTATTATTGTAATTATTCCTAAATATATAAGGTAAAATTATATATATTTTCGGGTCGGATCGGGTCGGGTATTTTTCACCCTAAACTCGAACTCGACCCAACCCGAATATCACACTTAAAAAAACTGACCCGACCCGACCCAACCCGAATATATGAATTAGAAACTCGACCCGAAATAAAAAAAATATTTTTATTCAATATATGAATAAGTTACCAAAGATTGATGAGGAGAGTATGGTCAAATTTCAATTCCCTCCAACAAGAGAATTGAATTCCATCATAGAATGGATGAAATTCACTTTACCTCATTTGATGGAAAGTTGAAGTCATGAGGGATTCCAATTCCCTTTGAAAACTTGAACCAAACATGGGAAAGTGGTGGAATTAGATTACAATTCCCTTAATTCTAAGGAATTCCTACGAACCAAACGTCACCTAAGGATTTTTTTTTAAATAGAAAATGAAATAATAAAAAAAGAAATAAACTTTAACGTGACACATCAATTTTTATAACGGTACTGATCACAATAAAAAGAGATTTAAAGTTTAATGATTATATTATAAGTTTTAAAAGTCTAGTAATTAAAATGCAAGTTCCCTACAAGTTTGAGGGTTATTTATATAAGTTACCTAAAATTTTATTATGCTATTTTATTAATTATATATCATATATTTTTAAAATTTTAACGAAAAAGATTAATTTTTTTAAATTAAACAATTATGTTATAATTTTTGTAATTAGATATTTAATAAAATATACCTATAATCGGAGGATTATTTACGAATTTTACCTTAATTTTTATTTCTTAGTTTGTTTCTTCCACATTGAATACTGCCAAGTTTTCTGACATATCAATGCATATCCGTTATCATCTAACACTTTAATTCCCTGCTCATTTAAAAGCTGGCCATTCCTTTTTAAATAGTAATAGATAACTATAAGGTAATAAATATATATTAAAAAATTATAATATTTATATTTATTAATTTAATTAATCATCTAAAACAACTTTTTACTACCATTTAATCATAAAAGATGTAAGAAATCTACAAACCGAGCATTGATTTTGAAAATCATCCAAATTTCACAAAAATAGTGAAAATGGTTTTAACAAATCCTTTTGTTTTAGTTAAAAGTGTTCATTCGGTAAAAACGGTGGCCGACCGAACTGAATTATCATTAATTGAATTAACCGAACTTTCTTTCTTTAACTGTTAACCGAATCGTTTTTTAAATATTAACCGAACCGAATAAATTTTAGTTAATTCGGTTAATTTTCGAATTAACATAATTTTTTTAAATTTTCTAATTTATATAAAAATTGAATATTTTTTAATTAAAAAACAGTTTACAATTAATTTAAATAATATATAATTATAAAATAAAAATTTTATATGGATTTTTTAATTAATTAATATTGATTTAGGTTTAAAAGTTATTGGATCTTAAATTATTAATTGAGTTTTAAATTATTTGAGATGAACCCATATGTTATATATAATATATTTAATATTTAAAATTTAATTTCGGTTAATTAACCGATTTTGAATCGAATTAACCGTTAACCGAATTCTAAAAAATTTATTAATCATTTTTCGACCGAACTAATTTAATGACCGATCGAATTAACCAAACTAATTCGATTCGATCATTTAAAACCAAAAAAATGAACACCTTAGTTTTAGTATCACCAGACAACTTAAAAAAAAGTTGGCCAACTTTAAGCCCAAAGGGAAGGGAGTCAAGCCATCTCCATTGACTCTCTCTTCCACTTTTTACAATATAAAGTAAAATTATTTATATTAAATTTTAGTCTGAATTGTATATTTAGCAATCCAACTATTTTCACGATTTCGTTTTGGTCACGTAAATATTTAGCGATAATGTATTTACCCTAATTTTACCACATATTTGATGTATATTAAAAGATAGTTTATAGATTATGAAAAATATTTAATTATCGTAACAAAATAATAAAGAGTGTGTACATCAATATTTTAAATATAATTCGATGATTTTTATATTTTATTTGAAAACTCTTTTAAGTGTGGTAAAGTTAATATTATAATAATATGAAATCCAGTTAATTTGTGACGTCGATTTAATTAATAATATTATATATAGTAAATATAAAAATTCAATTTTAAAAACACAAAAGCTTATCAGAATTTAAAAAATATTAAAAAAATCAATAATTTATAGAAATATCACATAAAAATACCATGACGTGACATGTAGTTAACTTCAAACTAATAAAAATATTGTTAAAATAATAAATTGAGAAAATTTAAGAAGTGACAACCTATCTTGATGTAATCGAAAATGTGATAAAAATCATAATATTTTAAGTTGAACAGAACTTAAAATATTACATTTTCATTAATATTTTCAGTTGAATCTGAAATGTTACGAAGAATATAACATTTTCGGTTGAACCGAAAATGTTAAGAAAAAGATAATAATTTAAGTTATGCTCAACCTAAAATGTTATTATTTTTATCACATTTTTAATTACATCATAAATCATTATTTTTTAATCTTAAATTAAATTACCGACCAACAAAATCACCAGTCCGTCAAACGTAGAATAATGAAGAATTAGAATATCTAGTTGTTTGGATACGAGGGAAAGAATCCTTTTTTCACTTCCATCCATGAGGAAAGGAGTGACTCTGCAACTGCAAGTGGTGGGCACTCCTTGCTTATAGTTACAGCTAATGGGCCTAACTCCATTCTTTCTTTATCATCTACATATTGCTAGTGGTAATGGTAGTGCTAGTGCTAGTGCTAGTGCCAATCACAGTGGAGCCAAATCTTTTCTCTAAACACAGCTCTTTATATAAAGTCCATTCTCATACTAACTGCATCCTGCAACCATTTCAGAACAAATTAGAGATGGGAAAACCAGGGGTTGTTCTTGCTCTCAAAGTACTCATGATCTTAATATTCACTGCCTGGATCTCTCTCTGGTTGCTCAAACCTACCAATTTATGGACAAGAAATTGGAAAGCAGCAGAACGCAGTGCTCGAAGTACTGTGTTTGGCTACTATGGTAAATACTTGAGAATATTCAAACCTCCCCATATTTTTCCATATTCCTCACTTTCCACCCTGCAAATTATTTCATCAATATTGATCCAATAATGGGTATTTTACAGGTCTTGACTTTGCCGTGTATACGTTTCCTATAATTGCTCTGGCTATGGTTGGACTTGTATACTTGAATTTGCAGTCTTGGGGGCAAACAAGGAGGTATTATAATTATACCATTCAATTGCATCCTTTGGGTATATATATGCATATATGCTTACATTATTTGTGACTGTAGACAAACAAGGAGTCCAACTGCTGCTTTGTCAAATCCGCTTGTTACGAGTAATCTTATCGGCATTTTATCCAGTGTAGAGATTCTCTCAGTATTTCTCTTTATCTTCTTCCTAGCATGGACTTTTTATTCACGAATATCTCAGGACTTTACCAAGTTGGGACCTGTTGAATCTTTGAAGTTGGACTTGTGAGTTCCTGGGAATCTCTTACTATGATTCGTAACATGACAGATTCTAGAATCAATAATATCAAAAGTTACTTATCCATGAGTGTCTGTTTCGAATTTAGATGGCAATTCAAGTATCTAAAAGTGGCAACCCGATTCGGTTTGCTAGCAGAGGCCTGCCTGGCTTTGCTTCTTCTTCCCATTTTGAGGGAGCTGGCTGTGTTTCGAATACTCGGCATCCAGTTTGAAGCTTCTGTGAGATACCACATATGGCTAGGGACTGCAATGATCTGTTTCGCTACTTTTCATGGTTCCAGCACCTTATTCATTTGGGGCGTCAGCCACAATATTCAGGATAAGGTCATAGTAAATATGATTGAAACCCGTTACACTACTTGTTAAGTTTTCCTACATAATCTGACAGTGTCACATTTGTTTGAAAAACAGATAGTTAAATGGCAGAGGACCGGTCGAATATATGTTGCCGGAGAGATTGCATTGGTTGTGGGGTTGGTTATGTGGATCACGTCACTTCCTCAAATCAGAAGGAAAAGATTTGAAATCTTCTATTACATGCACCACATGTACATAATCTTCCTAGTATTTTTCTTGCTTCATGCCGGAGATCGACACTTTTATATGATCTTCCCCGGGGTGTTTCTCTTTGGTGTTGACAAGGTGCTTCGCATCCTACAATCAAGGCCTCAAACTTATATTCTTTCAGCAAGATTATACCCTTGTAAAGTTGTAGAACTTATCCTTCCAAAGAAACAGGTAAGTTCTGGTGTTTTTTTTACTGAATACCATGTCAAAAGAACGTTTGAGAAAGTTTAAACGATGTAGTTTCTATTCTCATTTCAGGATTGAAATATACACCCACAAGTATAATATTTATGAAGATACCAAGTATATCCAGATTTCAGTGGCATTCCTTCAGTATAACTTCGAGTTCGACTGTCGATAGCCATACGATGTCTGTTTTAATTAAATGTGATGGACGTTGGACAAATTCTGTATATGACAATATACAGGCTCAGCTAGACTCTGATGCTGAAAAGTTGAAATCCATACCTGTTGCAATAGAAGGCCCCTATGGTCCTTCCTCTCTTAACTTTCTGAGGTGTGAAATAGAATCATATAACTTGAGATTTCATGGTATCTAAAATTGAATTCTCTTCTAATTTTCTTTTTGTTGGAATCTAAAATTCTTTGCAGACATGATAATCTACTTTTGGTTGCTGGTGGAATTGGAATAACACCATTCTTGAGCATGCTGCATGAAATGGCTGCAACTCGAGGGAAAAGCAGCAGTAGATATAGAATCCCATCCAGAATTCAGCTGATATACGTCGTTAAACGATCCCAAGACATTGGCCCTTTAAAATCGGTTTCTCACCTACTGCAAAACCAACCCTCACAGAAATGGCATCTAAAACTAAAAGTTTATGTCACACAGGAAAAGAAGTGTGGTGCAACAGTAGGAGAATTGCTTAATGAGGCATCTCAAGTGCAGACAGTTCACTTTCGCATAAAGGGTCTGAGTTACTCGATACATGGACCGGAAACCTTGTATCGGAATGCTGCATTGGCAGGAATTGCTTCCGTTATATTCCTTGCTTTTCTCATCAGTTTCAACCGCATATTTGTTCCCTCTGAAAAGACTAGTGATGTTCACTCTTCAAAATTGATCGGTTCCTCGAAAATGAAGGCCCCTAAAGAAAAGGCCCCTCTTTGGTTGCTGATATACTTATCATAGCTTCTTTCTTCATGTCTTTAGCATGCACCGGTTTGGTAGCAATTATTTTGAGATGGAGACGACTGAATAAAGAAATACCGAATGAAGAAATGGTACGGCAACGAAGTTCGATAGAGATGAAAGGTGTAGTTGAGGAGGAACATGAAATCCAATTTGGAGGGAGGCCTGATTTGGAAGGTATTTTCATAAATATATATGCACTTCATTGAAATAGAACCCATACTAATCTGCTCTGTTCATCTTGTTATCATATAATGTTCTAATTAATATTTCTAACTCGTCTAAATGATGGAATCTCTCATCAGATGTGTTCACCACATTCCTGAATGAAACCGGTGGATCCGATACTGGAGTCTTGGTGTCCGGACCAGAATCGATGAAGGAGGCGGTTGCATCATTGTGCCGGAAGAAATCTGGGCGCTTTAAGCTTGGAGACAAGAAAAAGAAACCATGCTTGAGTTTCCATGCCCTCACCTTTACACTTTAGTTTCTTCACAGTAAAATAATAGTCATGAAGTCACAATAGTTCCACGGTTAACAGTTATTGTACTTCACCCAGATAAATACATATATAGATTGGTCTGTAATGTCTAAACTTGTAGCTAATGGGTGCTCTTGATTAGCTTTATATGAATCTTGAGCCTTTTGATAAATAAACCAAATATATATATATATATATATATTTATTAAGCTAAATATAATTACAAAGTAGTATTTGTTCTAACTACTCTTAACTATTTGACAATAAATGCTCAGTCACCTTTGTAATTACTGGTTCTCGAACCCGTAACCTCTAGGAATAACAATATTTCCTTTACTACTGAGTTAAGTTGGTTCGTACCCAAATATTTTTAATTTCTAATTAAAATCAAAGTTCGATTGATTTTATTTTCTCAATATTTTTCCCTGTAGTTTCGAAAAGAAAGGAAGGTACTAAATGAGGTAAAATTAGTTAGGATTATCTTACAAATCAAAACATGAGAGAGAGACGAGTGAGAGAAAGAGTAAATTTGGTCAGTCAAACGTCCTCCGGTGAGGAATGGACGGCGTTTGTAGATAACTTGAGCAAGAGAGTATCAAGGAGAGTTGTTAGAGAACTTTTTCAACACCAGGGTCAAGTAATGCGGGTTTACATTCCGAATGTTTCAAAAAATCCGAAGTATAGGAATCAAACGTTCGCTTTCATTCAGTTTGAGAATGAGGAAGGCTTAAAGAAGGCGATTGAAAACGTCAATGGAGCGTGGATTGATGGAAAGAAAGTGACTGTAGGGGCTGCGAAATATCAAAGTTATAGGTCTAAAATTGCAACTGCCATTAGATCCCAGAAAGAAAAAGATATGTCAATCAAGGGAGAGGAGAGGACGATAAGAGAGGGAGCATAATCTTTAAGCAGCTTGAGAGATGGAAGATCTTACAAGGATGCTTTGGTCTCAAATAGGAAGAAGAGTGATGAACCAGTGTTAAAGGAACATAGATAAGGGTGTTCCCGAAGGGCTCCTGGATTGAGAAATATGTGGGAGATGCACATCCCTGCAAATGAATCGGAGTAGTTTAAAAGATCTTTAACATGGATCATCAAACCTTTATTCGATTTGGAGTTGGTTCAAAAGGGATTGGTCAGTGAAGGGATAAACCAGCTAGGGTTATGCTTGGAACTCCTGTCTGGTCACTTTTGATTCGATTGAAGTGTTAAATGAGGTGTGGTTGAAGACGAATGATGAATTACTTTTTTGGTTTGATTGGCTTGAATCTCTTTTAAGCGAAGATGGAGTCCCATTGGCTTTCTGTTCGGTGGAATTTGATGGTGTTCCCTTATTGTGTTGGAATGCTCATTTTCTGGAGAAGCTTGTTGGGTGGTGGGGAAAGATGATATGCATTCAAGACTCTACGGTGAAAAGAGATGATAGGGTGTTGTTAAGGGAGGCGAGCCCTTTTGATATTCTTGAAGTGATCACATTAGGATCTTATGGGAGATCATATAAGGTAAAAATAAAGACAGTGTCTGTTTTTAGAAAATCATATGTAGTTTCAGAATTTTATTCAGCGTTGGCCTCAGAGAATAGGTCCGGTGAGGGTGCAGTGTCGGAGAAAGAGGAAGAATGTCGGGAAGCAGTGGTGGTTGGTCGGGCAGAAGAGGAGTTTGAAAAAAGTGATCAGTCAGATAAGGAAACTCGGTATAGGGTTGACACATTGATGGATAAGATTGAAGTTGATGATTTTGTTGGCGGCTGTGAAATGTCAAAGTCAACGCAGCAAGTATGTGATGGGGGAACATAATGAAGAAAGATTATCAGGATTTTTGGATTATGGGAGAAAGTTGACAGAAAACTTTGAGGGGTTAGGTATTAGGAAAAAATTTAAACAGCTGAAAAATGAACAAGCCCACTCTGAAAGTAATAGTGAGTCCATGTCTCCCTTATTTAGATTTTCTCCATCTGGGCCAACTATTAACTTAAAGATTATGGGAGTTGGAAAAAAAGAAAGAGGGACAGGCAGAGTCTCAAGGGAATTTGGAACTGGTTCTTCAAGAAGGAGGTGTACGAGGGACTGATTTAAAAGTCAATGGGTATAAATATAGTTCGCCTGAGAAGGTGATTACCAGAAAAGGTTTTCCTTCTCCTGTATCTAATCGAAGAAGATCCAACAGTGCTACTACTGTATTTTGTGAGAGACTGTACAGTAGATCAAGTAAGAAGTTTAATTCAGTGGAGTCGGAGAGGGGTTGTTCTGCGACTGATTTCCCTATAGAGGATAAGGAGTTTGTCTCTACTTGGCAGTTGAACAGAATGTTGAGTGTCAATTTTAAAGGAGGAAAGAGTGCTTTTTCAAATAAATACTCCGAAATGAATCATAATAATGGGGAAGATGGTGGGAATTAATCCCACAGCTTGGGGTAGGTGTAGTTTTCAGTTGAAATGGTTGGATTTTCGTGTGTTACTTGGAATATCAGGGGATTAGGAAGGAAAGAAAAGGTAAGGGCAGTTAGGAAGGTGGTTATCAATCGGAAGCTTTCATTTCTTTTTTACAAGAAACAAAATTAGAGAGGGTGAGACCTTCTTTGATAAAAAAGTTAGGAGGCAAGTATCTTGGTGGGTATGCAGAGTCACCGTCAGAAAAAAAAAACGTCAGGTGGTATCTTAAGCACATGGGATGAAAATTGGTTCAATCATCAGTTGCATCATTTCTCGTTTAGATTAATCGTAATTAAAGGAATAATTAAGGAATTAAATGAAGAATGTTGTTTTTTTTTAAATATATATGGTCCATCAGTTGAGTCGGAAATGAGGCTTTCTTTGAAGAATTATTCAATTATGTTGGTTCGATGGACTGTTCTGTGTGCATAGGAGGTGATTTCAATGCTTATTTATCGAATGATGAGAAAAAGGGGAAATCACAGAATGTTAACTCTATAAGGCTATTTAGGGATTTTGTGTTTCAAGCTAAGCTTTTGGATCTTCCATTGGCTGGAGGGAGTTTCACATAGTGTAACAATAAGGAAGAACCTTCTTTTGGGAGATTGGACTGGTTTCTAGTGAATGATAAATTTTTACTGATGTTCCCAGATATTGTTTAGGTTTTACTACCAAAATCTCTTTCGGATCATAATGTAATGACATTGGATTCGAGTAAGATTAACTGGGGTCCGAAACCTTTCAAACTCTTTAATTATATTATGGATGAGGTTGGATTTCAGATAATGTTAGAAGGAAAGATCAATGAGATGAAGGTGGGGAAAAAGAGGAGTATCAAAAACTTATTAAAGGAATCAAAGGAGGTGATAAAAAGCTGGTAAAAAAACAACTGTTTGCAATTACTGAAATTCATTGAGAATTTGGAGAAATCAATTTCTATTCGGGAAACATAAGTTCAACATGGGAATCCAATGGTTTCGATGGAGGACATTGTAAAATATAAGAGATAACTATGGTCCTGTACAAAAAAGATTAACTTATTTGGTTTCAAAAATCGAAGGCAATTTGGATAGGGGATGATGATCGAAACACAAAATATTTCCATCAGTGTGCATCGAACAGAGGTAGAGCTAATGCTTTAAAGTCGCTGGAAGTGGATGGTTCTCAAACTTCGGATCCAAATTTAATAAAATCCCATATCTTTCTTTATTTCAAGAAAGTATAAAATTGCAAGCCTACTTTAGAGGTGGAATATTTGGATCTTAATTTCAAAAGACTTTCCGAGGAGTAGAGAGACGGTTTGGAAAGGAATTTTTTAGAAGATGAAATTTGGGAGGCAATCACCTCTTCGGATAATAATAAGGCTCCGGGGCCGGATGGGTTGAATATGGGTTTCTTTAAGAGATTTTGGCTGGTTTTGAAATATGAAATTATGAAGTTTTTTAAGGGGTTCTATAAGGGGAAGAAGATAAGCAAGGACGTGAATCGCTCTTTTATTATGCTAATTCCGAAGAAACCAAACCCGGTTGGAATAGAGGATTATAGGCATATTAGTTAGGTAGGGAGTTTGTATAAGATTATGTCTAAAGTTCTTTCAAAAAGATTAAGGTTGTGCATAAACATGTTGATTGGCCATTAACAGTTTGCATTCATTCTTGGTAGACAAATTTGTGATTGTTCCTTCATTCCTTATGAAGGCATTGACTATTGGAGGAGGAAATGGAGGAAAGGTTTAGTGTTCAAAGTGGATTTTAGTATAGCATGTGATACTTTTGATTGGGAGATCTTACTCAAAATTATGGAGTACATGAGGTTCGGCCAGAGATGACGATCTTGGGTTTTAAAGTGTTTATTTTTAACTTCCATTTCAGTTTTAGTGAATAGATCTCCCATAGAAAGTTTAAAGTTTCACAGGGTTTACACCAAAGGTGTTCATTATCACCTCTTTTGTTCAATTTAGGGGGAGAATTTCTTAATATGTTGCTTTGTAAAGTAGTTGAGTTAGGGTTGTTTGATGGTTTTCAGATTGGATGTGACATAATTCTTTCTTACTATCTAATTTGCAATTCGCTGATGATTTGATAATTTTTTACAAAGCTTCAGAAGCTCAATTGAAGAACTTAAAGAGGATTTTGGTTATCTTTGAATTATGCACTGGTTTGATGTTGAATCTTTCAAAGAGTGAGATTTATAGCATAAATGTGGATGATCATATAGTCAAAGAGCGGGCAAGCTCTATTGGGTGTAGTTTTGGCGTCTTTCCGACGGAGTATCTGGGGCTTTCATTGGGTGCAAGAAGAAATTCGGTTACCCTTTGTGAACCAATTGTCAATAATTTTTTTCACAAGTTGACTGGGTGGAAAACATGAACTTTATCCCTTGTGGGAAAGGTTGTTCTAGTTAAATCAGTCTTGAATTCGTTACCAAACTATTATATGTCCTTATTCAAAATGTCAGTTGGAGTCCGGAGAAAGTTGGAAGCTCTAATGGCCAATTTTTTGTGGGGATGTACTGCTCAAAAAAAATCGGATACAGTAGGTGAAATGATTAATAGTTTGTAAAAAGAAAGATTTTGGGGTTTGGGTATCACCGATTTAAATGAGGAATAAAGCTCTTTTGGGAAAATGGGTGTGTAAGTTTAGTATTGAGAATGATTCTTGGTGGAAGAGGTTGGTTTGTTGTAAGTATAATTTAGATAGAATATCTATTGCGATGGACAATTGTGCATCCTCCATTGCGTCTTGGCTTTGAAAAAGAGTCATTAACAACTATCGATCGAATGATGCTTTTTGTTTATGTTTTCATAATCATCTTATTTTACAAGTGGGGAAGGGAGAATCCATTTTGTTTTGGCATGATAGTTGGTTATGTAATACACCGTTGAAGTCTAAATATCCAAGGTTGTTTTCTTTGTCAGTAAAAAATGATGGGTAATTGCGAACTACAAAAGTTTTAGCAATGGGAGCTGGGTTTGGGACATTCAATTGAGAAGTAATTTTATGGAGAGTGAGTTTGCTTTATGGTATGAATTGTTTCTTCTGCTGGAAAATGTTCGTCTTGACTCAGAGGTGAATGATTGCTAAACTTTGAAGGGTAATAGGGAAGGTATTTATTCGTTTAAATCTTGTACTAATTTAATCTCTACCTTGTCCACTCCGGAGTTGTGTTGGTCTAAGATAGTTTGGACTGGTTTAATGCCTCAAAAAATAGAGGTGTTTATTTGGAAGGTTTTCCACCAGAAGTTGGCAGTTAAAACCGTCTTATTGAGGTGGAGTGTTAGAGGTATTGAGGATTCTTCCTGTTCGGTTTGTGGTAAGTATACTGAGTCGGTGAGCCATTTGTTCTTTGAATGTAATATTGTTTGGGGGATTTGGGTGAGTTTCTTCAAATGTGGAATTTATATTCTATTTTACCTAATACTCCCGAAAGTTTTCTGTTTTTCTGGTTGGATTTAGTTCCTCAATCGGAGA